GTTACTTGTCAATAGTTAAAACATTATTACCCCAGTGCTAAATGGCTCACATTATAGCTGTGACAAAATATGCCTTACTAGAGCTTGATACTTGGTAACTTGTCAATAGATAAAACATTATTATCCCAGTGCTAAAATGCCTCACATTATAACGATGACAAAAGATGCCTTACTAGAGCTAGGAACTTGGGAACTTATCAATAGTTAAAACATTCTAATCCCAGTGCTGAAATGTCTCACATTTCAACGGTGACAAAATATGCCTTTCTAGAGCTAGATACTTGGTAACTTATTAATAGTTAAAACATTATTATCCCAAGGGCTAAATACTTGGTAACTTGTCAATAGTTATAACATTATTATCCCAGTGCTAAATGGCTCACATTACAACGGAGACAAAATATGCCTTACTAGAGCTTGATACTTGGTAACTTGTCAATAGTGAAAACATTATTATCCCAGTGCTAAAAGGTCTCACATAACAACGGTGACAAAATATGCCTTTCTAGAGCTAGATACTTGGTAACTTGGCAATAGTTAAAACATTATTATCCCAAGGGCTAAATACTTGGTAACTTGTCAATAGTGCCTTACTAGAGCTAGATACTTGTTAACTTATCAATAGTTAAAACATTCTAATCCCAGTGCTGAAATGTCTCACATTTCAACGGTCACAAAATATGCCTTACCAGAGCTTGATACTTGGTAACTTGTCAATAGATAAAACATTATTATCCCAGTGCTGAAATGTCTCACATTACAACGGTGACATAATATGCCTTACCAGAGCTAGATACTGGGTAACTTGTCAATAGTTAAAACTTTATTATCCCAGTGCTAAAATGTCTTACATTACAACTGTGACAAAATATGCCTTACTAGAGTTAGATACTTGGTAACTTGTCAATAGATAAAACATTATTATCCCAGTGCTCAAATGTCTCACATTACAACGGTGACAAAAGATGCCTTACCAGAGCTAGATACTGGGTAACTTGTCAATAGTTAAAACTTTATTATCCCAGTGCTAAAATGTCTTACATTACAACTGTGACAAAATATGCCTTACTAGAGCTTGATACTTGGTAACTTGTCAATAGATAAAACATTATTATCCCAGTGCTCAAATGTCTCACATTATAACGATGACAAAATATGCCTTACTAAAGCTAGATACTTGGTAACTTGTCAATAGTTTAAACATTATTATCCCAGTGCTAAAGGGCTCATATTATAACCGTGACAAAATATGCCTTACTAGAGCTAGATACTTGGTAACTTATCAATAGTTAAAACATTATTATCCCAAGGGCTAAAATGTCTCACATTTCAACGGTGACAAAATATGCCTTACTAGAGCTAGATACTTCGTAACTTGTCAATAGTTAAAACATTATTATCCCAAGGGCTAAAATGTCTCACACTTCAACGGTGACAAAATATGCCTTACTAGAGCTGGTTACTTGGTAACTTGTCAATAATTAAAACATTATTATCCCAGTGCTAAAATGTCTTACATTACAACTGTGACAAAATATGCCTTACTAGAGCTGGTTACTTGGTAACTTGTCAATAATTAAAACATTATTATCCCAGTGCTAAATGGCTCACATTACAACGGTGACAAAATATGCCTTACTAGAGCTAGATACTTGGTAACTTATCAATAGTTGAAACATTATTATCCCAGTGTTTAATGGCTCACATTACAACTGTGACAAAATATGCCTTACTAGAGCTGGTTACTTGGTAACTTGTCAATAATTAAAACATTATTATCCCAGTGCTAAAATGTCTTACATTACAACTGTGACAAAATATGCCTTACTAGAGCTAGATACTTGGTAACTTGTCAATAGTTAAAACATTATTATCCCAGTGCTAAATGGCTCACATTACAACTGTGACAAAATATGCCTTACTAGAGCTAGATACGTGGTAACTTGTCAATAGTTAAAACATTATTATCCAAGTGCTAAAATGTCTTACATTACAACGGTGACAAAATATGCCTTACCAGAGCTAGATACTTGGTAACTTGTCAATAGTTAAAACATTATTATCCCAGTGCTAAAATGTTTCACATTACAACGGTGACAAAATATGCCTTACTAGAGCTACATACTTGGTAACTTGTCAATAATGACTGTATCATACTACACTGAATTATAAAATCTGTCTCACTAAGTGTGAAAATGTCAATTACATTTGTTAAATCTCTGGATTAAGATGTATCAAATTCCATTATCCTCTTCATTTGACGTTAAATTTGACAGTAAAATAATTCTTACTTTGTTTCAATCTTTTGACTTTTTTATTATCTATAATTGTGTCACATCTCGTAGCTACCATGTATTTAACATTTTTTGTTTTTCTAAAATCATGAAAATATCACAGATGGAATTTAACTTCATGTGTGTCTGTCAAACAATATAGGTTTGTAAACATTGCACATCGTATAACAACCACTGGTATTAAAGTCATAGGATCAATGTGTCAATGTTATTGCTTCGTGTTTTATCTGGAGGAGTCTATCGAATTTTTCTCACGAACCATAGTCTCCCACAGTAATCACATGAGTTAAACGATAACTGAAGGCGACGTGAACGATCCCATATAGGCCGTCAACGACATGTTATCAGATAATCGCCTATGTGTATGTCCTTTTGAAAGTATGTATTGTGATTTCACATCCAAACTAATAAGACGTGTATTGATGTTTTAATGTCATTTGTGTGTCATTGATATGTCCTTAAGACCTGAACGGAATTTCTACATTGTTCACTAAAATAAATTTTATTTTTTATTTTTGGGAAAATGTTATCTCGTGTGATCGAGAGTTGTATATAGTGTATTTAATAAGGTATGATATATTGTAGATGTTTGTATGGTTTTAGTATTGTTTCATGGCCCTTCGACACTGCGAGTCATTTAGGGCCTAACAACACTGTACAAATAGACATTTACAGAACAAATACATCAAATTAGAAATAAAGAGGTTTAAGAGGTGCACAAATGTAAAATTATATTAACAGTGAACAAATTGGATGTAAAATATATCAGATTTTATTATAAAGATCAATTGAGTGTAAATAATCACATATTGATTGAAAAGAAACTGTATCAAATTAACTTGTCATAGACGATACATTTTCTGTCACGTTTTTGTTTGAAATCAGCGCTACAAATTGTAGAACAGACATGTGTATGATATGTACAGTGTATACAACGCTTATTTATGTAACATTTACTTTTGTTTCTTTTACTTATTTATTACATTTACAACATGACACGTTTTGTAGATATCACTTTTATTGGTCCAGATTCAGGACGTCGTTCTGGTTAAGTCTAAGACATGTAATTGAGATTTGTTGTTTCACAAGCCTTAGACCTTGACTTACTGTATATTCGCAAATGCTGTGTAAGAATCGGTATATTCCAGTCAAATTTGATTTTATCATAAGATCAACTGAGTATACCAAAGTCATTACAAAGGCACATGTAGCTACTATTCCCTGTTAAATGGTCAGCATATAGGGTGATCGCCACAACTTGTTTGCCGTTGTCAGTATAATGTGAATAGGTGGAAAGCTGTACTGGGTGCATTCGGTATAGTATTTCAGTGAGGAAGCACTCTAGAGTCGGCATCAGATCCGTGCTATCGCATGGAAGCAGATACATCAACATACTGCCTTCAACACTCTACGTACATTACAGACATAGGTCACGTCTTTTCATCACCTCAGCTGTTAACATGTCGATAAAACTCACACCATTCGATAAATTACAATTACCATTTTTAATTCAGACGTTAAATAGTTTCATTGGCTACCAATAATTGGTAGGAGACACTGAGCTACTACGTATCAATCAGTATCGTTTTATATCTTTATCTCGTGGTGTTAATTGTCATTATATATGGGTTCCAATTGTGTTAAAGTGTACTGATGATATTTTTTTCATTTTACTCTGTTGTATTGGTTTATTTAGCCACTGAATATTAAGCAACATGAGTTGCAATGTTGAACTATCTTAGTTGATAATTTGCATGGTGTGTCGTGTATTTTAAGCATTATATCAACAAAATAGGGTCGTAATGGTCCAAAAGGTCAAAAAGAATAAAAAAAAAAAAATCATCACAAACGGTAGTTTCATAACAATATATACATCCAATTATGGCAGCATCCCTATTTTTCTTTACCCTGTATATCTCCAGATGCTGCGAGGAAAAATGCACATCAATATATGTATATCATAGTTCACTTCAGCGCTATACGAAAAAGAAAGATCAAAATCTGAAGAAACGCTAAATAAGCACGATAACAAAAGTCAAAATAAAATTAAGTTTAATACCTCTGAGATCATGGTTTGGCGTAACCAAACGTGATTTCTTTGTATTTTGAGATATATCAACCATAACGAAGATTAATGGTCAATTTTCAAGTTCAAATTTTATTTTAGTTTGATCATGTTGACCAAACATTTTTTCAGCAGGTATCTCAATACACAGCGCTTTCTATGAAGCTATCATGTGACAACTCTGTCTTTTATTGACGAGTTTAGTAATTTGTCATGCAAATATAACAACCCAGTGTAAATCATAATATCCCTTTACAGGAGCATCAGTGTAAAATAAAACAAATAGAGCATTATCTTTCAAACACCAAAATAAAACTCTAAGACCTTGATATGAAAAGCCTTGGCAAAGATAATTTAATATCTTCAAATGGCGAGCAAAAGTGGAAATAAACGGGGAACAGAACAGGACTACTTATTATAAATCATAAATCAATATAATTTGTTTTATGTGTGGTCGATTACTTCAGTAATTTCTATTTCCTACACCGACAAATGTTGTATGGCACGTATTACTTTTGAAACATTATGCATCATCAATCAAACGTTCCTATCTTGTTTGCTTTGTTCTATATTAAATATTAATAGAATTTATTGATCGGATGATTCATGAATTTATCTTTTTATATTTAATATCTTAAAAGCTTCGGGACATCCGTCATGAAAATGTGAACCCTCTGTATGGATTTTTGAACGACCCCGTCCGACCGGCCCTTGTATCCGAGCATTGCAATAGGGGCAGTTTGAAGGTAAGGAGACCAATTGTATTTTTCAGTACACATGATAAAATAATGCCAAATATAGAGTTCAGTAAAGTTTGTCACGAAATAAATTCATCAGTCTTATGCCTAAGAGCCAATTCTGAAATGTTAAGTGCTCAATCAGAAATCCATCATTGTGATTTATAGGCAAAATTATGTCCAGTGATGTTGCCCTGGTTTTGTTAGCATTTTGTGCCTGGAACCATCGATCTTCACAGTTACTGCTATATTTGCATTATTCGTACATGTAACTCAGCAGAGTTTTTGTAATTATGCAAAATGGTATTAACTATTTGGTGTTACGTAATTGTAATTTAATTTCGTAATTATCCACATCCTGCAAACGTGATTGATCGTAACTTAATGATCAGTCTGTGTTAGATGTCATAAATATGCAGAATAATGTTCTCTCCCTATTATGCAACATAATGCATAAACTGTTGTAATAACTTAACACAGTATATAAATTGTAATCACATAACATTTTATGTACTGAATTGAAATTACATAACATTTATGCAAATATTGGAAGAACGTAACATGTTATGTTTTATAATATAATCACGTGTAATGTAACACATTATACTTACGTAAAATGGCATGTATAATATTGGTATCACTTCACATGGTATATCAATATTGTAATCACTTAACCTGTTATGTACACTATTGTCATCATGTAACATTGTATTAATACGTTGTAATCGTGTAACATGCAGGTCCTAATGGTCAAGTTATTTAAAATTTTAATAAGACATCGAAATAAGCCTGATATTTAAACTTATGGAATACCTTACATAAACCTCTTTTGTTTATTCCAGGATGTCCTGAACAACGAGAATATTAAACTTGACTGGGATTTCAAATCGTCCCTGTTGACGGATCTGGTTAGGGTAGGTCCTCTTCTTCATTTATCTTACTTGTTTGGGATAAATTGCCTTCTTCATTTTGATATAACTGCTAAGTGGAAATTGATTTTTTGATTCTAGCATAGCTGGTTAGTGAAAGGCGTCTTCCTCATTTTGGGGAGTAATAATAAGGAAAGTTGACTTCAGGAATCTGACGGATCTGGTTAGAGTATAGTGACTACCTTAATCTGACGAATTTGGTTAGGAGAAGGTATCTGCCTAACACTAAATGATATCTTAAAGATAAATTGTCCTCTGGAATCAAACAGATCTCGTTAGAATAAGGTATAACAGTGATAACTTTATTTAAAGAGGATCATTTTTTAGGATCGTACCTATCTTCCATATGTACATATATATAATATAACTATGTAAAATAAAAACACAAAAACACGCATACATCAAAAACAAAAACTCAAGAAAGTATTTCTTATGTAAAGGAAGTATTAATAGCAATATTTACGTTTATATTGACTTTTGAAAACAATCAGAGTTTTTGATATTGTAACATCTACGGGTAGTGCATTCCTTATGATTGCGCTCGAATATTGAATGTCTTTTTAAACAGTTCTGAGTTGTGACGATATATGAATAAACAAGCAAATTGGTGGAATTTATACCCCCCGCTTGCAGAACATATTGGAGGTTAACATTATTGAGGTAAAGTTTAAACATGTGAGTATCGTGCTGTTGAGACATAATGTATAGCTTGAAACTTAAAGAAAAAAGCACTATTCCTCATTGATGCACAAATCACATCGGTTGGCAAACTTAGCATGAAGAAAAAAGCCCTATCGATTATCCGTAAATATGCACAAATCACATCGGTTGGCAAACTTAGCATGAGTCGGATGTGCATACGGAATTTGGTTGAAACATCTTAACCATATCTACAGCAATTATCACATGAAAACCAAAGAGTGTCCGAGATGGGTGGGAAAGACAGAGGAACACAAACATTGTTATCAAGTTTTTATCAAGTTTTAAGGAACTTGGCTAATATTTGCCAGAGTTATTAAGCGGAAACTACAGATAATGACGTTTTTCGTTAATCAAGGGGCCATATCTCTTGCAAATGGAGTCCGTTGAAAGTGATCATCGAACTTGGCCAAGCCCTTTTGGCATTTAACCCTGTGAGCAAGTTCAAATAAAATCGGTTAATATTTGCTGTAGTCATTGCACGGAAACGAAGCGCTGCAGATAATGACGTTTTTCGGTAATCAAGGGGCCATAACTCTTTCAAATGGGGTCCGCTGAAAGTGGTCATCGAACTTGGCCAAGCCCTTATGGCATTTAACCTTGTGACTAGGTTTAAAGAAAATCGGTTAACATTTGTTGTAGTTTTTGTACGGAAACGAAGCACGGCAGCAGACAGACAGACCCACATCAATACCCCCCGTTTCGGTGAAACATCCTTGTGATATAGTTTGAAGTGAGGTTACGGCTTCCTGAAATTGTATTTGAAGTGTATCAGGCATAATGTCAAATTATTGGAACATTTTCTTTAACGACTCTGTTTGGATAGTCAAAAATAACATCATCTGACGGATCTGGTTAGAAGAAATTGATTTCAAGACAGTAGATGTTATCAGGAAGGTGCGTTGACTTCTGAAATCAAACAGATCTTCGAAAAGTAAGGTGACTGTCTTCATCTGACGGATCTGGGTAGGAGAAGTTCATTTCAATACAGTAGATGCTATCGGGAAGGTACGCTGCCTTCTTGAATCAAACAGATCTCGCAAGAGTAAGGTGACTGTCTCCATCTGACAGATCTGGTTAGGAAAAGTTAAGTTTAAGATAGTAGATGCTATCGGGAAGGTACGCTGCTTTCTTGAATCAAACAGATCTGGGTACGGTTTGCTTCCACAAACTAATGGTCAGTGCAAGATCATTTTATGAACCTTTTGGATTGTTTTTCACGGTATGGTAACTTTACACCGTTTACACCTATTACTGACGGGTCTTGTAAGTTACGATTAGCTGTCTTCGTGATTCGAATAAAGGGTACAGAATGTTAATGTGAATGTGATATAACCCTAATGACTGCAGTAATAATTTCGATAATATGTGATGTTCTCATAGGTTATTCACCGAACCAGTGAATACATTTAGATTTGACCATTTGCATTGGATAACCAAGCGTCATGTTAGCACCTATCAATCAGGTATTCTAACGGCAAATATTAAATTGGTCACGTTGCTTCGTCTGTGCTCTTTGATCTGGTGTTGTAAAACCTTTATGCCTTTTTGATTTTGTACTTTTAGATTACAAACCATCACCAGTAGATATCCCTTACATTTGGTTGTTACGCGTAAATCCATGTATCAACCTTATCAACAGGCGATAATTGTATGATACAACTTTTAAAGTTCATTGAAAGGAGGTCAGCAAGCAAATCATAATATCGAATGGAGCTAAACATTTTGGACATTCATGCATTAGGTCAACTTATTTTGATATAGCACGGATATCAGCTATTTATCTTATACATAAAATGTATCTTATACATGGAATTTATCTCTATATAGTTATACTACTTTCAAAATTACTCTTTATATAATTTGATGTAAAGAAAGGCCTTTGATGAAACATATGAGTGCGACATCACATCCTATTTTATCAATTTGAAAGAATTTTATTTTGTATTTTGTATTGTTTAACGGCCCATCGACAATGTGAGTCATTTAGGCCCAACAACACTGTAGAAAGAGATATTCACGAAAATAAACACATCAAACCAAAACTTAATAGCTTCAAATGTACAGGATTAAAGAAATACATCAATATCGAACAAATTGGCTGCACAATATATCATATTTTATTGAAAAGATCAATAGAGTGTAAAAAGTCATATATTAATTGCACAGAAACAGTATCAAATAACCTTTTTAAAGACGGTACATCATAAAATCTGTCACATATTTGTCTTAAATTAGCGCATTCAATCATAAAGTGTTTGACTATAAATGGTTGATCGCACGCATGACAATAAGGCTGGTCTTCCTTACCCAAAATGGAGCCATGTGTGATGTAGGTATGGCCTATACGCAGCCGCGAGAGGACAAGTTCCTCTCTGCGATCTGCTCTACTTCTTGCACATGAACCCACATTATGTTGAATTTCAAATAACTTGCTGTTTAATTCTTCAGACCATCTTTTTTTGCAAATTCGTTTTAATAATTTGTTATAGAAGGTTTAAAATCAGAAAAAGGCAGTTTAAGATCTTTTGGATGTAGGTTAAGGGCTGTTTCAGCAGCTCTATCTACCTTTTCGTTTCCGTTTATTCCGACATGACCTTGTATCCATATAAAGATCAGGTGGCAAAACAATAAAATTTTGTTAATACGAAGGGCGATGATTTGAATTTTATGTTAATCAATGTGTGTTAAGCCACACAACACCATGCGGAATATCAACGATTAGGTATTATTTTATATAAGTCCTTAATACCCAATTGTCTTCTAATAACATTAAGAAATTATACAGAATTATTTCTTTTCATAACCTGATCACCTTTGTCTTGGTTTTAGGGTTTGCGATTTATTCAGTCGACTCCCATCCATTACCACGGGAGCGTGAAATCTAGGAACTGTGTGGTAGACAGTCGCTGGGTATTAAAGCTGACAGACTTCGGAATGTTAGGATTCCGGGAAAGAGCCAAGCTAAATATAACAGTAGAAGCGGCCGGTAAGTGATTGTTTTGACGTTTACAATACAATCAATATAAATTGGGAAATTAACACTGAATATCAGCTTATTCCAAAATACAATATACCACTCGCTCGCCAGCCTGCCTGCCCGTCCGCTCTTTCACTCACTTGCTCACTCACTCACTCAATCGCTCAATCAATCAATCAATCAATCAATCGCTCATCTTAACTCACTTACTCACTTAATCAATCAATCAATATCTACGAAAAAGCCAGCGGGAGGTTATTGAACTTCGAAAACATATAATATTTTGCCAGACAGATAATCAGTTATGCTTTACTTTTGATCGCTTTGATCTTTAGTTTCGAGATTTCGTGCCTATATACGATATGTCAATTTCTTTGACATTTAATTGCCTCAGTGTGATAAAACACATGATCTAACAGGATTATCATCTTTACAAAAAGCCCAAGCAATGCACTGTTTTCTGCGTGTTTGTACTGAGTGTAATGTAAGTGAAACAGGGTTTCTTCTTAGAACTCAGTACTTTTGTGCTGTTAAATAATATTCCTGTGGTAATGATTTGTTGTTCTGTTTGTGTAAACGGATCACAATGCAGGTTGTAACTACATTATAACTGCAGACGTTCTACCACGTCATATATAGCTCTCTTTAAATTGATTTTTGCGATAGTTTAACAGGGTTCGTATTCTCCAATTAGTATGAAATCTAATTTATTATCTTCTTTAGATTAATACTGTTTCATGCGGTTAATAATTATCAAACTATTAAATCACATTGCTACATCTAACAATCATTCAACGTATACAAAGTATAGCTGTGTACGCTGATTTATGCCGATGCTGTTAAAACTAACCTTCAGTACTAAGACACAATTCCGTTGGGTTATTTAATTTTAAGGAAACAACTGTCACTACATGTATCACAAAAGATTCGAAACATGATTTCCTACAGTGCAAACATGTTAACCTCTTTGGCGCAACTCAGTTCTGTTCGGTAGGTTTATTGTAATTGTTAGGTTCATAATAATACTTTAATGTTGTTTGTTATATCACTTAAGACTTTATATTGCTTCTTTTTTAAACCGAAGTTTTGACACGACATGATATTCACATATACAAAATTTCACGAAAAATCAATGTCGTTCTAACATTTTACAAGTTATATAATCCTTGACCTTCTTCATTCCATGCTTCCTTTTCCAGATTACTCGGTCTTATTTTCTGTGATTTTTTTTTATTAGTATCGATCGCATTTTAGTTCACGTTTTGCCGAATGATATCGATTTTAAGCACCCATTACGTTGCCACCATAGTATTCTCTTGTTGGTTGTTTTTTCTCCGGGTGCTGCTTTGCTCTGAATCGTCGTTTAACCTCATACACACTGAAATGTAAAACTACTGAAATGTTTTGGCATGAGTCCATTATTATATTATAAAACTACATGGTTATTATTTATGACGGTCGTTTGAAAAAATAGACCATGTTTTTATACAATTTTCTTTTTCAGTCTCTTAAAGTACATCTTGAAGAATTAAGTTATTACAATTCCAGATCTTTTGTGGACAGCTCCTGAGCACATCAGGGATCCATACCCTGGCTCTAAAGGCTCAGTGAAAGGGGACATGTATGGAATGGCAATGATAATGCAGGAAGTCATTCTCCGAAAGCGACCATTTGGAATGGTAGATCTAACGGTGGAAGGTTAGTTGTTTGCACGAATCTGAGGAGATTCTTAGGAATTGAGACCATTTGGTTCCCGTATAATTAAATCGATTCAAAATTATCCTAAAAGTAATGTCTTTTTTTTTAACTTTCGATTGAACGAAAATACAGTACATTGAATGAATGTAAATTCCTATAAAACAATGAATATGTATACATATGAAAATTAATCCGTGATGTTTAACACGAACCGATTTATAAAATAACTGAATCTTAATACTCTTGGACTCCAAAATCAGATTTTGCATCGACAATGGCATATAAAAGTTATTTGATTATTTTTAAAAACATTTTGTTTATACTATAGATTATATGAAAATGGCATGCAAAAAATAAAATGCGCGAAATCTTTGACATATCAAATGTGAAGTATATTTAATAACAAAGTAAGCTTCTGTGATAAAAAAAATTGTCAGAGTCCTTTCTTCAATAAATGTAAACCGAAGTATAAACGGTACGTAAAAGAACGTTCAAAATAGACTGGGTTCGAAAAGTACAGTAGGTCAACTGCATACTTAAGCAGATTATCTGTTGCTATTTAGGGTATGTTAAGGAAATAAATCCTTACAGTCAATCACCCTAACGTTTCTCTGGCTAATTAAATTAAGTATCTAAGTACATGCTTATCATTAGTATCTGAGGTTATAAATCAAAATGATGACAAGGCATATGACGGTTAACTGGTACAAATTTCCATCATATTTATTAATATTTTATAGCATATTTCGAATATGTCATATGAGAATTTGTATCCATCTGTATTGTCCTCAACCATAAAATGGACCTTGTCCTCAAATGTATGAGTAATATTCCTTGTCCTTTCACCGGGACTTGATACAGACGTTATTAACGGATGTTCCTGCTTTCTTATTTGTAATCCCTAAAGTATTATTGAAACAGATTGTGGTTTGTCGTATGTATGAGTACAAGATTGACAGACGCAAAGTAATAGATTGTGATAGAGATAGGAACATTACGTGACATGATGTTTGAATTTTAAACATGTTTATATCAATATTTTTACTCCAGTTCTATCACCAGTTCTATGGTTTGATATAACAAATGCCTCCGAAGCAAAATGTTTCTGAGGTTTGATGATAAATGCCATGCTTGATTCATGACATAAGCTGAACATATAACATACACAGTCCAATGTTTATTACGAAACTAGGTTTTTATCAAGTAGGTATATACGTTTATATCTATAAATAATGTGTTTACGTGTAGTCTTATTTCAATGATGATTCTACCCAGTACACGTTGACAGTTCTATTCGATGCAGACATAACACAGATTGTAACGTATATCATGCGGCTGCTGGTCGTCAGAAGTCATCAATAAAGTATTTTATCTACAACTTAGAATACAGTCAGTCTCTGGTATTTTACGCCGATATTCCCAACGTAATCGGGCTATGTTCAGATCCAGCCACAAATCGAATACGCCGCATCGCAAAAATGCGTAAGCTTAAGGTTAAACGGATTGCTTTGCTTCGTCTTCTAATGATGAAGTGGTTTAATACGTATTGTATGTATCAGTATTATATGTCTTCCAACGTTTCAAGATTGTTTTTGCTTTCCAGGCGCACATATTCAAATAAAATATTTCACTGTGATGGTGATTTCGTTATCGGTAAAAGTGCACTTATGTTGGAAATTCATCTTTTTATGTTTAAGCATTGGCCAGTATCAAACTTAACTATCATTGCAATTCAATACAGTAAATGGTTCTAACATAACATCATAAGAAAAGTCGAAAAGGTTGTTTTTATCCTGTAATATTACCATGGTTACAGTTTTTACGTTTTATTGCTACATGTATATACTATCATCTCAATGATCGTCTGGCGTAAGTTTCTATTACAGAAGTCTATTCTACAGATAACCATTCAACAGTATGTGGACAAGCTAATAAAAAAATAATAGATCTTTGATAAATTGTCTTCTATAAGCTCGATTCATTTAGGCTTAGCTTGAACATTTTCCCCATACACTGCTTAACATAAAGACTATCCGTGCCGCACGCATCCTCAGTGAATCGGTCATAACCATGTAGGTCATAAACATATGTTTCATGCGTTTAATTAAATCCACTTGTTTTATAGCAATGTATTTGATACAATAAATGTGACAGACTAAGGGATAGTTTGTGAAATTTGATTGGTAAGATAGCTATTTTGTAATCGTCAAAAATCCAATTCGTGAACGTTATTTGGCCAAGCTTTATGTTTTGGATGTCTGTAGGGGCCGCCGAAACGATGAGGTGTAATACAAACTTAATAGATTGATCATCCTGCGCTTTGATTTTATTCCATAGGGACGGTCTCAATATGCAGGGGTTTGACCTTTATTTTCCTCGCTGTTTAAGACCGCTGAGTCCCCCTCGACAGACTGTCTGGCTTCTGCTATATATGGAAGGTTATTGCTACCAGTACTGTTAGCCTATTTGGTTATATATTCTTTCTAGACACTAAACTTATCCCATATTTGGCTTTCAGAACAATTAAACGTTAAGTCCTGAAACAACTGACGGTCTCGTACTGAACACATAACAATAAATAAGCTTTTAATAGAAATCCGATGGCCCAAGCAAAACGTTTTCTTGATACAAAGATGATAGTATATTGATATTATGACTTTATTCGTACATTTTGGGCTGACATCTCAGTTCACAATGTTTGAAATTTTTCATAAATAATGAGACAGTCCCATAATTTTAACTATCAAATGCCAAATATCACCTTTCTGGAGAAAAATATTGACATATAGCCCACTGCTTTTTATTGTTTTTTGCAAAACATATACAATTTTTTATCTTCAAATGAAAGCAAGTTGAAAGCCACATTGAAATAAACTAGGTTAGCAAGCTATTACTACATTTACTACATGTAAATATAATTACTTCTATACCATTTTGAGATAATTTTTAATTATTTGGCTGGTGATATCTTGGTTTAGTAATGCTGTTTTGAATTTGAAGGTTACCACTCTGGATTTAAATATTAAAATGTTTATTTCCTATTTGTAATATAACTTGGGAATTCCCATCAGCATGTCAGGAGCCTCAAAAAAAAGTCTTTAGAAGTGTAGAGCCACACCATTCCTCCATAGACCCACGGTCATCAGTCATTTCTTAACCACTTGATGTAGAGTCTGCCTTTATATTTCTTAATTGTTAGCAAGTTTTGATATACTTTTGTGCAAGATTTTAAAACACGTAGTGACATAAAAAAAAATAAAAAAAAATAAAAAATCCTTTCTTCCTACCGTTAGGTATGTAACCTTTCTTTAAGAAGTCATGAAACATACGCGTTGTGCATTTGTTGAATGATCCAGATAAAAAAAAAAACAAGAAATATATGACAATATACAATCTTATAAACCAATTTATGGAAATGTAACAAGAGGAATGAACCATATATGGTTTGTTTGACAATTGAAATATTCCATACTATTCGCCCATAACATGACAAACATTTTGACTGGAAATTAGCGATACTCCCTGACAAAATACCGTAGTCGAAACATGCTGCTTGGAAAAGTATCCGTTATTATCACTTAACGTGGCAGCCCTCATTATGTCTCCTGTCAATTCCGGGAAATGTGTCAGACGCCAACGATGTAAGACGCGATCAATACGCATTTTATCATGTCAGACACTGAAATTACATATATCGAATCCAGGTTATGATGACACGAAAAAATTGTTGGCGTGGATTTCATTTTCACGTATACGACAAGGAGAAAAGAGCAGTAAATCCACTTTGACATGTTCATTCCGTAAGCAGAGGCATCCATCTATTGTTTATTAGTATATTTTGTAAAAAAAGTTATGAAATGTCTTACCTCAACAATACGAATAAATGCTATCTATGTTTATGTTGTATATTGTGACATACTATTATCCTAAAATACTACCTTAGTGTAACAACATTATAATAATAAGTTAAGACGGATTTAAAAAAAGCATTGTTAGAAATACTGTCGAAAAATTAGTATTTACAAATCTGGCACGTTTATTTTCCTGACTGTTGCGCTAACGAATTGTATCATCGACCATTTACTGTGATTTCGAATGACACATAATGCAAATGTGGTTTAATTCCTCTTGGAAGTCGTATTTTCTCGTCATCTATAACAAATGACATTGTGTATTACCAAATCTATCCTTGGCATTACGGCGATGACTAATTTGGATATATAAATTGGCCTGACAATCGGCGAGTGACATCTGACGGCCACCATAGATTTTGTACTTACTCCGTCTGACCTCTTGTCTAATCGTCTTCTTGCAGAGATCATTGAGAAGATAAGAAAACCCCCTCCCCTACTCAGGCCGTCTGTATCCCCTCAAGCTGCACAGCCCCAATATATCGTGCTTATGAAGCAATGCTGGGCGGAGAACCCCGATATGCGGCCATCAATTGAGGATGTTTATCAACAGTTCAAATCTATCGCCGGTGGCAAGTATGTAATATCCCTGTCATGTATGTGTCTATGTACGTGAATATCTCATACGATAGCTGTTATTTCATCAGCATTGCACAGTATGGATGCGATACAAAAGTGGGGTTGTTTACTAGTAGTCGTTGTATGTGTTTTGTTAAATATATCATTTATAGCTTGGATGATACAGAATAGAATTGTTCGGCATCATTAAGTATGACACACAACTCGGTATTGGGACAGAAAACAGTCTGATTAAGCAATATAATAAACATCTGTTTAAGTTAGCATTAAAACATACCTAGTCTGTATATATACACATATATATTTACGGGCGGATTGGTCGAGTGGTTAACACTCCGACTCTCCAAGCAGGCGGCCGGGGTTCGATCCCCGAAGTCGCCGTAGGCATGGAATATTAGAGAAAGTGTTTTTCTCATGCCCACACAACTCCAACAACCCAGGTGGAGTATAAAATGGTCTGGGGTGGGTATTGCGGTATCTGTGCTGTAGCATTCAAGTGAGGCGGCACTATAAATGATACCGTTGGAAGCACGGTCCCACTACAAACAGAACACAATACATCTCCAGCACACACACAGGCTTACACACTTCGGGAGATATTAGCCAGGTGGCATATGACTAGTAGTTAGCGCCTGATAAGGTAGCTCCTGCGAATTCCTCAATATTGTATTGATTAATATATATGCTAATTGTATTGACTGTATTAAATTGTATATCTATGTACTGTAAAGCGCTTTAGAGTGGCTTATGTTAGCTAGATAGGGCGCTGTATCAAATGTTTTATATTATTATTATTATTATTATATAGTAATAATACATATACTACAAACGTACATCAATGTTGTCATTGTTTAAACTGTTTTGTAAATGTGTTCTTTGATAAAATGGCCATTGAAAATAGTAAACAAATGATACTGTAGATGTTGTTTTTTGTTAAAATAAATTTATTTTTGCCCAAGAAAAAAATGGAAAAGATAATTTATGGAAAACAGTTCGATTTATGATCATGGTATTTATGGTCGATGCACAAATGTTTAATTTCATACGAAAGTATATATCAATTTATTGAATTACTTTTGTTCATCCTCCCAAATGAATAGTGATGTGGCTAAATAAATCAGCCTCAATGATTCTGAGAGAAGCAATACATGTGTGCCTATGAAATAAAGATGTGATCATATTTCTTGAATTCATTCTAATCATCTCTCAGAATGCAAGGCAAACTATACAAAATACATTTGCAAGCACATCAAAATTTAGAAAACGAAATTAAAGTAATATCAAGTTTCTCAATTACCAACTCATTAATCTTTTTTTATGTTTTAGTAAGCTTGTCCTAGTTCTAAATTATCTAATATGAATAGCTACTAAAAAGTAATTCATTTACTAGTTTTTATAGCTATAACAGACCCATTGTGATGAAACGTTCGATACTGTCAAAATCATAGCATGCAAATTTTGAAATGTTTCTTTCGGGAATTTCATTGATATTTATTTGATCTTCAATTCAATGCTTTTGGTAAAAGGCAGATGGTGTCTTTGATTTTATGTACTGTTACATGATCAGAGTACAGCTGTACTTGAATTTTCTGTGACTCTCGTGGTTTATGTTTATATACATATTTAGGCTTGCGAGTCTTTGTTTTCATAAAATTGAAATACCTGGTTACAACGTCATACATAAAACAAATATGTTCAAATAATGCTTTAAAAATAGTGATTATCCATGACTACGCTAATTGATAATTTTGAAAATATTGTTTTTTGTCTCATTTTCGTGTGTGTAAGATAGAGCTGTCCATGGTAAGAAAGGGGTGTAGGAAATGTCTATCTTACATCCCATTTTACGTGATGTGACGTCACAATGATTCAACAGTGACATGACGTCACGAATTGGAACTCTCCGATTTGACTAGTTTTTCTGCTCAAACATGGGGAAATTCCATCCTCGGATTTTCAAACTTGGCAAAAACCTCGGCAAAGCCTCGGGTTTTACCAAATTTGAAAACTCTTTGGGTGGAATTTCCCCTTCCTACACCCCTGTGCATGAAATGGACTTATACTATTGCATATATTGTAAACGCGCAAACTATGTACACAGGAATGAGTTACATGGAGACCCTTGCAAACGTACAAGGAGAATAAAAACAGGTGATCCAGAAGGGGTAATGCAATAATACGCTAAAATGTATGTACTCTTACAGTATTCAAATCGAAATGAGTATGATTCAAAGTTAAAGTGTAATTTTGTCGATATATTACTGCGCCTTATACACTTTAACAGTAATAGTAGCAATATATAATCGACAACTTCGAGTGATCATCACATATATTTTCCTTAGGGTTATAAACTAGTCATATGGTTTGAGCATTCCAATATTCATGTTAACAAACTATTATTAAATCATCACTTGAAAAGCAAACTAGGGAGGAACATATTCAAGCAAATGAGTGGGTCGATGTAGTGAACCTAACTGGAGTAAACATGTTCTACACTATAATGCCATTCCGTTCATTAAATAAAGCTCAAAGGAATGGAAATCATTGTCTGTTATTAAAACAGAGCAAATAATGCATGTATTAACACAGCAAAGGGGAAACTCATCTCTAAACTCCTTTATTAAAGTTTCTACTTTACAACGGTTTGCGCCGATCGATAATGTTCTTCCGACATTATATATATTTAAACCGTGACAGATCAAAATCCAGCTACGAGGATTTCGAGTCATATGATACATTTCGTCTACATCACTTAAACACACGGTAGCACACGTCAATGTATTTATTATGCTACATTTTAATGACGAAAGTCATCCATTTATGTATTATCTTATTTTATTTATTTTCGCAGGAATATGTTAGAGTAGCATCCATTATTGTATTTAACAGGAAGATGAATATAGTGGACTCGATGTTTCGGATGCTGGAAAAATATTCCAACGACCTTGAGGACATCGTCAAGGAGAGAACAGTCCAATTAGAGGAGGAGAAGAAAAAGACAGATGTCCTCTTAAACCGGATGCTCCCACAGTAATTATCTCCTTTAATATCTCATCCAATGGTTTCCTGCCTATAATCACCATGCCCTCCTTAACTTTACGTAGTTGGTCGTGCTTTAGTCATATAATCGACTTCTGTGGTGCTATCTTTGTAACATTATAACTATGCATCCAAATGGAGGTTTCATCAACCAATTCGATGTGGATGATTTCGATTCCCACTGTCCAGAAAACCCACCACCACAAAGTTGTATTTCTTAAACAAATAAGTTCTACAACACAAAAACCCTTGATAAATGTGTCAACTTGAAACGCCGCAGGATGATGTGTTAACCAAGTATCATGGAAATCCGTGACATGTATGGAAGACATATTAGTTGAATATGTACGTAATGTGCAAGAACTTATTCAGAAAATGTGTATATGTTCATTTCCTAGCTCAACCATCACCACATCATCTTGTGGCGATCTTTCAATAAGATAAAATAACAAAACATTGAGATGGGGATGGTACAAACAGCTTTACATTTAGTTCTAACAAAACATATGAAAGGTAAAGTAGCTTCTCACATAAGTAATGAATATAAACAAAGTATCTAATTTGAGCATGTGAATGGTTAAATGAATACAGAACAAGATGTTAGAGGTTTTCTAAAATTTGTAAAAAAAGTTTCTTCTGTTATCATGTTATACCCTGCAGTTCAGATATCTATCTCATAGTCTTTATAAACATTTGTTTTAAGTAAAGAATAAATAAACGTTGAACGATATCATGGTTTAAATAAGTGTTTCCGGATTTCCGGACTTTCGATTAGAATTTTTTGGCACCCCTATTTATTTTGTAATATAAATAACAACTATTTGATAAAAAAGTGAACATTTTACTGTGTGCTTGATTTTGCTTTGTATTTTATCCGGAGTTGGATATTTGCAGACCATAATCGATTTTTGATATATTACCAAATAACTACAATGACCGTGTAACGTTTTCATTGTGTTGGTTAGTGATAGGAATCGCTTAACTTTCCTGAGCACCTCATTGTGTCTTTGGTATTTGTCGAGTTGTAATACATTTCTATTATTACGTGTTATCTACGTTGATCGCTTACTAATTTGCCTTTCACGAATTAACTTCTGAAGTCTTCTGGAGTCAATTTGTGCTTGTCGTCTTCCAAGCACAATACCGGATATTGCGTAAGTGTCTTGTTGTAGCCAACTTATAGGTGTTTGTTTAGTGTGTATGTCATCTGCAGTGTGAAACAAAAGCATTAAGGGCAACCTTAACGATGTTTTTATTGCAGTTATTCACCAATCTAATCTTTTACTGTTCCAAGCTCTTCCAAAAATAGAAATTACCATTTTTCCTTTACAGAGTTGTTGCAGAAAGCTTGAAAAGTGGACAGAAATTCAAGGCCGAGGAGTTTAAGGAAGTTACAATATATTTCAGTGACGTTGTGGGTTTTACGACTATCTCGGCTATGAGCACCCCTTTGCAAGTTGTTGACCTCTTAAATGACCTTTACACAGCTTTCGATGCCTGCATAGATAATTACGACGTGTACAAGGTAGGTATAAATCCATAGTAATGTATTAACTTTATATCTTTTTGGGTCGCCCCTGTACTTCACAAATAAAGTTAACTTACAGTAACTACACGACACATAACACCTTGCCATATAAAGTTTAACACAGATTATAGTTGATTCAAAATTAGAGTTACTACAAATGGTCGGAACGATAGGTGATGAACAAAATCTAGTGTTATCTGGTTTTAATTCTCATTGTACTTTCTCCTTGGTCCCTGTATTGCTATTTATTTCCCTTTTTTGCTCTAATTTCATTAATATTTAATTCCGATCGCAGCTTAGCTTATACCTTATACCTGATGTTTCTCACAAATTTTTCACTAAAACGGTTGTATTGTCTTACATATGGTATGTTAAGACTATACGTGATAATCATTGCTATTTAGTGTTTCAAAGATGAGTTGTGTCTTATATCCACAAGGTTGAGACGATAGGGGATGCTTACATGGTAGTGAGTGGTCTTCCAGTGAGGAATGGTAACAAACACGCAGGGGAAATCGGCACCATGGCGCTCGACCTCCTCAGCATATGTGGGACCTTCAAGATACGCCATATGCCAGAAGTGCCTTTAAGACTGAGAATTGGTCTTCATACTGGTGAGTAGAAAATTATACGATATTAGAAAACATTCCAGAGACATGCATGTTATTAATGATAAAGCGTCTGCAGCAAAAATGTGGGAGCACGTTTCTATCATTTTGAGTATTTAAATAGCTCTCCTGTTGTGAAACATAGATGTTACCTTTCTCTCTAGGATAGAAGTGTTTTAAGCAATATGAAAATATTTCTGTGTAGCAAATAGAGAGACTTATGGATGCAAACAAACACTTTTAAAGGCAGAGTCATTTCTATCAATTTGTGCACCACTACAAGCATTCAAATATATAATTATAATTACTTTGTAAGCAGTCCATGCTTGCGCATATCGATTTTCGCCAATTGTCAATATAAGCTCTTTTGCCACACATTTTATATACTGGTTTGAAAATCAGATAGTGATAAACTTAAAAGAATTAATTTTATTCCAGTATTTGCTTAAACGAAATTTGGTTGCACTCAGTGATTTAAGGCACGTCTCTCCTTTTGCAACCTGATTGCCTGAAATGCTCTTCTAAGAGAAGGAATTCCATTATTGTATGCTCAAATAGAGATATATCTCCGCATGATTAAAGCAGTATTTAGGAGATGATTGTATGCTTGTGAATCCTGATATGATGAAAGTTGGAGGAGTAATTGAATATGCTAAATGATCTATGAGCGAGTGAATTTACAAAGTATCCACATATTATTAACATGATCACTTTCTCAGAATAAAAGCAAACTTATTTCATCTTAGTATGAACACAGCTCACAGGATTTGTACTTGAACATTTGAACTTTTAAGCATATATCTGAAACATGGAAACATAACAACACTTGACACTAGTAAATTTTAACCAATTGCATATTTTCATTTCTAATCTTCGAATAATCACGCAACTCTACAGACAATCCATCTACTGCCGTTGCGTGTTTGTATCGGTTGTTTAACCATACCATGAAACTTCTTCTTTTTTTGACAGGAAAGATTGCATGCATGTTTTTTCTTGCTATATTGGCCCCTTGTTCTTTTTCATATTTTTGGTTTAGCAGGCAACAAATTATAAAATTTGTCCTTAAACGAAATAAATCACAATTTGTACGCAACTGGCTTGCCAGTAACGTAGGAAAATTGTTTCATTAGTCATTGCTTTACCATGATTAAGACATAGTGGTTTAATTTTGTTTAATACTTTGTTTGGCTGGTTTGAAGGAAACTCCAGTACGACAAATCTGCCCGAAATGAATTATTTTTAGTATGTTTTTCATATCAGATTTTCTCATACGAAACTTCGTTAATGAATGCTTGTCCCTTTAATCGACCCCTGCAGGTTGATGGATACTATTTATCCTGCTTTATCAATACATGATCATACTGGTTTAGATAGAAGCCCTACAGTGTCGAGCGATTCCATCTGGTACTATTATCCTCATGCACATGATTTTGGGAAAATATTGTCAGTATTATAATTCTTTACTTTTGTATATGAATACATATGTTCATACATTTATTAACAGGGTTGACGCAATCTCATTACGTAACATGAAGCATTTCAGTTCAACAATGTTTCTAACCTATTGCATTTCAATACCAGAGTTATGTATAGGCTTTGTCGTGAACAATACCTTAGGGGCATGTTTATAACACTGCATTGGTTGGGAAACTGTTCAATCAATCGTCTTAAGGATTTGTTACTGCCATTTTTCATCATTATTTGAATATTTGTAAAACCTCAGCGGCAATGACTCTATGTAGATTCAGACAAGTTTCCTTATTTCAAAACGATTTACAAACAGCAAAAGAAAATTCAAAAGGAACGTATCGGAATATTAACAGTATTATTTATTTGTATTTCCATCTTTTTTGCCCAGTTCCTAGAAGGACGAGAACGCTGTATTATGTATTAAATTCATGTTTGGTTTACTTAATCTATTTCCAATGTTTTAAAAAATGCAACTCCTGTGTGACTAAAGTTTATCCTTCATGCGGTGGTGTTGACTACATTACGGTGGAATATGTGTATATGTACTGAGATGTCAAGTAGGGGCAAAGTCATCCATGCTACCCCTTTGTTTGCAAGTTGACCAGTCATGTTGTACACGACGTAATCGCAAGGCCTTTGTAAGCTAACAATAGATTCGTCGGGAATTTTAATTGATGCACATGTATCGCTAGAGGCGACTAACTAGGAACCCCCTGCATGACTTCGTCCTTGTGGTCTGCTTAGGAGATTCTTAGTTAACCAACATTGGTCCACTTCCTTCTCTGCTAGGGCGTCTTTCTTCACATGCCTTTAAATGTTGCGACGTTAACTCTTTTCTAACAAAAGTCTGTGTTTTTTGGCAACAGATCTTTTTTCATCATTTTCTGAAAGTTATCCAGCCTTTCACAATTCAGCTACTTAAGCATCACACAAACGTCTATGAATCAACAGAGCTTCACTTTACTTTTACTTAACATAACAATTTTTGATTTAAAGAAAGTTTCAAAATGTCCTTTGATGCATTCTATTCGTAATCATAATCATTTTGCTACATAGGAAAAGCTTAGATCAGTGGAATTTGTACATTATACATTGTAGTTACTAATGGATGAATTCTTTGAGTCAGTGACAGCGTATGTAACGAGTCCAAGTATTGTAATGACGACTTTGTCACTGTATCCTTAGCGCCCATGGGCACACACAGATCGCGACAGACAAAACACATCTTATGAATTGAATGTACGTAGCTCCATTACGCAAACCAAAGAATATCGTCTGCCTCTCCCCAATTGGCATTACATTTCAGGATTTGCCTGTAGAGAAATTGTCTGTCTCCGGCGAAATTTATCTATGTCTTTCGCTGAAGTGTATACGGTGACGTTTTAATCGAACTCGTCTTAACATTTTGAACGTGAATATAAACGCCGGATTGCACAAACAGACAGACGCTAATCTTACTGGTTTTAGCATCGACAATCCAATAAGCCTGCACTCACAACAAGGAATAGGTGACAGGCTTACATAAGTATGAGGCTGTTTGCATTAGTAGTTTTTACACATGGGCAATCGACCACACAAACAGATATTTTTATCATTCAAGTAATGTTTCTGTGAAAAAAGAGCACGCTTTCCTTACAAACTATCGTGATGAAATGATGGAATGTATTGTTCAGGTTTACTCTATAGCATTTTGAAACTGTATTGGGCTGGACAAGATTATGTATTGAGTTTATTTATAATCGCACTCCTATTGTTTTCAAACCACTTACGCCTTTGTAAGCCTTTGTTTAGGTTCCCGTCCATGTGTTGTGAAACCACTGCAGTCACGTGTGGTTCTCTACGATTATCTATATTTCCTCTACTAAAAGTTTAAATGTTTTATCCGGAGGTAATATGTATTGTAGTTATAAAGGGTTGTCCTGCTAAGTTCATTGTTAACTACTTTGTATGATCGTCTGTCTTTAGGTTCGTGTGTTGCTGGAGTCGTGGGCCTTACCATGCCGCGGTATTGTTTATTCGGAGACACTGTTAACACTGCCTCTCGGATGGAGTCGACGGGGAGCGGTAAGCATGAAGCGTATCTCTTGGGGTTTATGTTGACACAGTCTGGTGCCTACAATTAGACCCAATTAGTTGATGCATTGTATAGGTACACGTCTTTGCAACGCTTAGGCCTGTGATCAAATCCTCAATACAATTATTTTTAATTGCAAATTGTCATATCAGGGCCCGTTTTCATGACACCGTTCTCATGCTCAAGCATGGATTCTGTGCCTTGTAACCCATATAAATCATGTCAACGATCAAAGAGTCAAATTTAAATATTGAAAACAATATTCGCCTTCAGGTTACCTTCAATTTTTGTCCAAAACTTTAACAAAATAAGATTTTTTAAATAATGTATAACTGGAACAAGAAATTAGACTTAAGCACAAAATCCATGCTTGAGCATGGAAACGGTTTCATGAATACGGGCCCTGGTGATTTTTGATTTAATGATTTATATAAATGGTAACTACAGAGTGTAAAAGCCAATGCATTACCTTAAAACTATGTTTTGTGGTTTCGTTTGATTGATATAGGACGCATATATAACTTATAATACCGGGATGTTAGGACATGTTAATATTAAACCCTTAATAATATCGACAGAGATTCGTTCTTTGGTACAGTTCCATAAAAGACTAAGTGATGAAAAACATCCTGAGAATAGTTCCTCTATTACAAGGATCATAGAAGGCAGGTGTTGTTTATGATGTTATGGGACAATATGCCTAGTGTACTGATATGAAAATTAAAGAATAAAATCCGGTTAAATATTTCTAACTACATCAAAATTTGAGAAACAAACATTAGTGCTATAAATGAGTTATCAAATCGTGTGTGCGTGGGTATCCAATGACGTGGATTCAGGAAATCTTTTGCGTTATTGATATATTCCCGGGAAAACTTTTCATCAATTTGGCTTTAAGTCACTGATGACTAAACCGTGACTCACGCACGCATTTACCTATGTATATATTGAATGTAGACACGACACGCAAAAATTCGGTTTATTTCTCTATTTATAACAACAAATCACACAATATCTTACAAAGCGTAGGGAAGTCTTATTTTAAAGTAAAAAATATGTAGTAATTTTGACATGTTTTTGTCTTCAAATATAACGATGTTCTTTTTCGGGGGTATTTTGCAATATTTTTTATGCCATTTTATTATTTTTGGTTTGCTGCAATTTTTTATTTCGTTCTTACGCATTGATGTATTAGTAACGCGATTTTTAGTTTGCCTCATCACGCTGTTTAAGGTAAATGTCGGGTACAAATCAAACTCTGTTGTGTCGTCACAAATGTTCGGTATACATATTTTCTTTTTTAATATCTCCGTTAGTCAAAAGGTATTTAACCTGATAAAATATTCTTGGTTTGTGAAATGAGACACTCCTTCCATAGTGATGAAATTTATTTCGGATAGGAAACTTAGGTGATATAGGGGAACATACACTGTATGTCCATACATAGGAATCAACTGGAATGGAATCACGAAAAACTGGAAGACATCATAAGCCCAATTAACTAAGGAAAATCAAAATCTAACGGCGCAGGTTATGGTGCACAAATGTCATAAGTCATAGTAGGTATTGAAAGGTCATCGGTGCAAATTACGTCACTAGAACGACAGTTGTTTTAGTAATTAATTAATCAAAATGACGCATATATCCAGAACGTAATTACAATATGCTCTTTAATCACAAAATAATTGTAACACGAAAGATCAACAACGTACGAGAGAAATGAACAGCTGCGCTGTGTCTTTGAACATGAAAAATAAACTATAATTACAATTATAAAATTTAGGTTGTCTATAAACATAAGAAATATTCTTAAATAAGGAATGATTCGAAACAAAAACTGATGTTTAAAATTAAAAATTATCAAGTAATCGGTCACTCAGATCTTTAAAGCCAATTTCGTAGCTTAAACATGCCAAGGATGTGTTACGCTTTGGAACATATTTTGTTTTTTAAATCAATCCTAATCTAACAAAGTGCATGCCCTTATTTATGCCGATTAACCAGATATCCCACATAAAGAGGGTAGCTATTTTGAGTCAATTGATAAGAGAGCAAAATTGATAAATCACAAAGTTAATCACATGTACGTGAACCAATAACTGGTACGAAAACTTTAGTGTGCTAATGTACAATATAATTTTTTGAGAACAAAATGTCTCCGACAACGGGTTAGGTTTTTGTTTTAACTGAAATCAAGATAATACTGTTTCTTCCAACTCAACAAATCTAGGTGAAGAGTACGGAAAGAGGCATTTATCAAAAAGACAACCTGTTTCACTTCCGCTTCTGTGAAACTATGGTGTATTCATTTTGATTGGAGTGATACAAACCTTATCACTAACTTTCTCTGTCGATTTTGATGAACTCATTCGGAAATCACAATAGCCGTCAATCACAGTCAGTCGTTCTGACGTTATGTGAATATTCGGTTATTGTTTATGATTTATAGACGTTTAAACACAATTAAGCGTTAACACATCAGAGATCGATAATCGAAATTTAAAAGAAACAAACGCGACATTATAAGACACAAAAGCAAAAACAAAATAACATAATCAGAAGAGAAAGAAAGATTGAAACAAGTAGCTTTATGCTGGTACTTGGTCTTAGTTTCACTGATCCCCACCAGGGTAACTTATATAGTGGAGTGCAGCTCTTGCGGAGAGTATCGAAACCGAGGATGTGAACCGGTCAAAAGTAGATTTAAGAAAAAGCATGTGCTTAGTGACATGTGCCACCGGTACATGTTATCTTTTTCCCGGACAACTCATGTCAAATGCTGTCTAAATTGATTACTTTATCGCCTCTCCAATCATTACTGCTTCCATCAATTTTACATAACCAGGTATTATTTTACATACGTAGAAAGTATGATGAATAGTGGAATGTGGTATGGAATGCAAGCTAAATAGTCAATTAGAAATACCACCAATAAAACTTTGTTTTAGGCATGTATGTTAACTGTTAACAGCGTTTGTGTATGATTGATAAGTACGCCGGAAATCACATTATACACAATTTGATAAGAGAGTAGAAATGATAAAATGTAGCACGCTCTTCTCTGAATTGGAGAAAAGGTATTAGTTTCAAATATGTTTTTTGTGCATTGGTATAGACTGTTATCACGGAGTTTGTCCTTATTGATATGTTATATTACAATGTATGTATTCTAACTTACTATACATTTTGCATTCGGCCTTGCAGCTTTCCGAATACACATAAGTGTTCAGACAAAGAACGTACTTTCAGACCTTGGAGGATATCAAACAGATTTTCGGGGAGAAGTGGAACTGAAGGTAATTTGTTTTCATACTGGTGCATACATGCCGGATCACGGCCCTCACAGTTTGACATTTAACATAATTACAACGGTCAAACTGTTATTGAGATTTTTATTGATTTGTTATGCTTTTCCGCACAATATTAATTTTACAAGCACATTATTAATGTTTCTTGTTGATGTAACAGCCGTAGATGTCCGGAAGCACTTTTTCTTATCATTTTTATTTCTTGTATTTTCCTTAGGGCAAAGGGCTAGCAAAGACATATTGGCTGGTTGGTAAAGATGGTTTCTCTAAACCCCTTCCGGAACCACCACCGTTAAACGAGTAAGTAAATGAATTACAATCGGTCCGCAATGACGTTAGTACATACATATACCTAACCGAGAAATAGCATTGTGATATATATTTTGTAGGACATGTGAGCATATTATTTTTTAGTCATTTGATAAATTAAAGCCTTCTTTCTATTTCTTGTTCGGTTTTTTAAATAATGGCAAATCCGTTTCTTATCAGCATCACAATTGTTGATTTCTGTAGACAATTTTGGTCAATTGTAAATTTAGTAGTGAATATATAACGTCGGCAAAGACTTAGCACGTGATTAAGAAAACGTTTGTTATGTTATGAACTTAAGGTTTTTATATCACTTTTTTAAATAACAGTGCAAACAATCATGGGTAAGTAAAATACCAGCGACGCACATCTATTTCATCTGCACTATAATCTCTACGATCCTACTGTGTATTCCACTTCTCTGACTGACTCGCTTGAAGGTACCGACTCGGTGAATATAAGATTGAAATTCATGAGTCATACATTTATCTACTACACTTGCACACCGTAATTATTATGATATGTGAGGATTTTACAATATAAATAACTGTCTGAACTTCGTTTGCTAAGCTACTAACCTCGTAAGCATAATAAGGACATTTTCTCTTATCAAAATTTCCTTAAACGACTTGGAATATTATAATCTGATATGACTTGTGAAATTCATTGATGTTTTCGATGAGTAATAGATAAGAAGTGGAATACACAGTTATGTTGTTGTTGCCTGGGTTCATCTTTCATCGTCTTTCGTTCTCTTAGTCGATCATGGCTCTAGTCCTGAAAAACATTAGCTTACCGTTATCTGTATTTCCATTCTATATGTGCCACCATGTTTATCTTTACACTGAATTCATCTTTACCAAAGATTTCCTGATCACCTGTGATGCTTGTGATAACGGTTTACGTTTGATTCTTGTTCACTTTCGTGTCATAGCTTTACTTGTCCTCCTGTGATCGCTATATAGTTTTGCACCGTTTAAACCCAGAAGTAATGGTAGATACGGGCTGGAATCTTGGAACAAAGGACGAATTATGCTAAAATGTCTAGCAGGGTCATTAGATGATTGTCTGAAAAGTAAATTTCTGACGTCAGCTATTTGTGAACATATTTATTGTCAGCGTCGAAATTCGTGTGATATTTTTCAAATTTTCGTTGCCTTTCTAATATATGATTGTTCAAAAATAGCATTTATTGTTCTATGAAAGAAGAAAAACAATATTGTTTCAGTTACTACGTCGCGATGGCACCTAATCGTCATCTTAAATAACAGTAAATAGATTCAAATGCATAGCTCAATTGACATAGATTGTTGTATGTGGTACATGTAACAAGGTAATTATCAGAACACGTATTTAGTTCGATGGTTGATGACTACATTTTAAAAAGGTTAAATTTAATGGGCAATGTAAACGAATGACAATAGAATACCAAAGTGTCAACTAAACCGTATTTCAAACTCATAATCTGTAAAGCTAAGGCTAAATATAAAAAGGACACTGGGGCAAAATATGAAAAACGCCCCAAGGCAAAATATAAAAAGGACCCTTGGGCAAAATATGAAAAAGGCGAGATTTAAATGGAGCACCTTTGAAGAACAAGAAGAATTATAACAGATTATGGATCACAATTAGAACTAACATGGCCATTAATGTAGTGTTTCAAATTCGACATGGCAATGTATAATAAAGTGGTACGAGCATTTTAATCAGTTCTAAGTATGAAGCGGCTCATAAAAATGACAGAAAAATTCCGTTTTTTTAATTATAACACTAAATGACAGAACATTGGAAAAAAAGGCGAAGGAATTAACACGGATACAATTAAGCGTACAAACAAAATAAAACCTGAAAATGAGAAAGTGCAAGAGGTTTTTAAATCATAGTTGAGAATTGAAAGGTTTTTTTTTTATTTATTTACATAAAACATCGTTTGATTTTTCGGAACACTTATATTTGATGAACAGTACATGTGAATATTGGCTGGATATTTCGTTAACAATCTGAAAAAAGGGATGATTGTTTTGTTTTTGTATTGTTTAACGGCCCATCGACAATGTGAGTCATTTAGGGCCAACAATATTGTAATAAGAGACATTCACAAAAAAACCACATCAAATCAAAACTTAATAGCTTAAAATATGTCAAAGATAAACGAAATACATCAATATCAAACAAATTGGCTGCACAATATATAACATGTTATTTTAAAGATCAATCGAGTGTAAATAGACATATATTAATTATAAAGAAACTGTATCGAATAATCTTTTCATAGACGGTACATCATAACATGTTTGTAACACGTATTTTTTAATCAGCGCATTCAATCATCGAGTGTTTGACTGTAAATAGTTGGTCGGATATATGACAATAAGGCTGGTCTTCCTTACGCAAAATGTAGCCATGTATGAAGGAGCTTGTATACGTTTAAAAGACCGTAGTGCATACACGCAGCATTATCAAAGATTTGAAATCATTCGTTTAATTAACATTTAAACCGGTTTTGACGGTATGCAGTATGTTTGGTCTGTCAAAACACATAACAACTGAGAGCATACTTTTATACAGCGGTCGTAGCTACGCAACATAATAATTTCTTATTATATGTTTTGGTATGTGAAACTAATAAAATCTTAAATGTTACAAAAATTTACTAAACTTGTTAATGCCACCTTTAACCAATTTGATACGAAATGAATGGTAGACATTTCTTATTTATACAAAGCACATTACATTTGGACTTCAAGAATAGAATAACAAATGTATCTGTCTAAACTATCGGACGAGAAATTCTATTTTAACCTTTTTGTTGACAATTAAAGGAAATCAGAATCTGCACTTATGCCTGAAATTCAAATCAACACTAAATGTGTCATTAACTAAGTACTTAGTTTCTTAAAACATATTTTTCTACACTTGTGGACCTATAAAGATCGACTTTCGAACAGTTCTAGGAACGTTAATGGTGTTTTCTTGGAACGAGCATAGCTCTCTTAGGGTCAATCTGTAAAGGTTAAAGTAATTTTCAAAGACGGTTTATACAGCTAGTGGAAAAAGTCTGGCGTACAACTGTAGTGCTTTCGCAATGCTAGTGACACCAAAACCCCAGGTTACTTTTGTATCAAATTAAGAGCACTTTTTATCGGCCATTTATTCACCCGAATGGAACAAAATTGTCTAAATGACTCGAAACTGTCTTTTTTGTTAAATGGAGTTATCTTTTTCCTTGGATTTTTTTTCTATAGTACATTCGGCAATCTAATGGGGTTTTTGTTTCATGTCCATTATGTTACAATTCTGGTAAATGTATTTTAACCAAAATGCTACATTATTGTATAACTTTGCTTTAGGCATACTGAAAATAAAACATGTGTGTTTCGGAAAAGTCGGTATGAACTATTTCCGCGAATTGAAGATATCTGCGAAAACTGTTACGCGTATTTTAAACGCTGCAAAAATATTTTAAATGAAAATGTGAAAATTTAACCTTATGAAACGGAAACTCTGTACAGTTTTGTAACTTTAAATTTGTTATTTTAATGCTTATGAAGTCATTGTTGTTTTAATTTTATAAATGCAGTTCAAAACAGGACTTGATGAATCTTTGCATTCCTGATTGATGCTTGATATAAACAGACATCTCAACCCGAGGGTTGCTATATCTCAGACTACATCAAGTTGGAGTGACATAGTATATTTAGTCCCACATATTTGCTACTGTAATCTAGTTGTAATGGTTATGACAAAAGCGATGCCGCGACCCTGGTTGCGCTCTTTAAAGTGGCGACGCAATGTTGATTATTTGTTAAAAAGCCCGCGTAGGCTGTCTTTCCCCTAAGTATGTAAAGACCGGTTAAATTCTTCCTGATATAAACGGGAATGCATCTGTCAGGTGCAATGTATGGGAAAACTATCCTATGCCAGCAACGAAATTACCCGCATGGTAAATTTTGCTTAGATTTAGGTTAATAAAATAGTAAACATTATTGCGTTTCAAGACTAAACATATTTAATTATATGATATTTATATTTGTCTCCTTCCGTTTTAGCCTAGCATCGATTTTGAACGTTCAGAAGCTTCAAAAAGACCAGACCCCTAATAAAGCAGCAGGAACCAACACATCCAAACAACCAGCACAAACAACATCGAAAGCCGAACCGAATAATATTAGTGTTAATGAATTGCAGTGTGCATGTTGTGACTTACCAAAGTCCTCTCCGAAACACGATTCACAAGCGTATGACAGCAATGACAACCCGAAAGCTAAAAATGGGCCAGCTAAAGTCCACCGAATACAGGTGAACTGTGATATTTGTGTGACTGGTAACAATCAAAATAATTCAACAACAAACTCAAAAGATGGAATTACACCTGTTGCGAAAGTATGATGTCCCGTGATAATGTAGTTTATGCCTACTCCACATAAAACTCAACACATGTATAGAATTGAATAAGGCCATCATAAGATGACCATTTATTATAATGACATAATGACGCAAACTATGAAAATGATGTTTAATGTCAATTTACATCCTTCGGTGGGGATTCGACAGAATTACGCCACACCAACACACATATATATAAATCACAAACAAACAATATTAAAAAGGGTGGCATGTAAGGGTGGGCTTTTCAATAAGGCAAATTTGGTATAAATTTCTAAAAAGATGCTGCAACAAAATGGCGCCGTTGAAAATTTTCTTGAATATGAAGAAAGGGGCCTACAGCCAATCAGTTTGTAGGGTGGGATGTCAGCCAAACAGAAACCTCAAAACAATGGAGGCACCAAGAAGGGGTGGAGCGGCACCCTAAGGGGGCTATGTTTGTAGCAACCTTTTAACAAAACTTGTCAAACAGTCTTAGGCAGGGTTTATGTGTCGCGACATAAAATCAGCTATATATATAACTTGCATTTATGCCTACTCCACATAAAACTCAACACATGTATACAATTGAATAAGGCCATCATAAGATTACAATTTATTATAATGACATAATGACACAAAATATGAAAATGCTGTTTTCTGTCAATTTACATCCTTAGGTGGGGGTTCGACAGAATTACGCCACAAAGTGAACAATAGAAAGGTAAAAATTTCTAAAAAGATGCTGCCACAAAATGGCGCCGTTGAAAATTTTCTTGAATATGAAGAAAGAGGCCTACAGCCAATCAGTTTGTAGCGTGGGATGTCAGCCAAACAGAAACCTCAAAACAATGGAGGCACCAAGAAGGGGGGGAGCGGCACCCTAAGGGGGCTATGTTTGTAGCAACCTTTTAACAAAACTTGTCAAACAGTCTAATGCAGGGTTTATGTGTCGCGACATAAAATCAGCTATGTATATAACTTGCATATACAATGGATTTGAAAAATGATACATTGACAAAATATAACCGGCACATAACTTTTGCATAATGATGAAAAGATAAGAAACATAATTTTCCCACTAGAATTTTATGGCGCTTTTAAAGAATTGTTTTCAACAGTAAGTTTATAATTCCATATCTGAATTTTGTTTATACATATTTCCAGATGAATTAATAGTGTACACAAACTTATCTATTAAATGTTCTATCTGAGGTTTCAATGACACGCGCTTTGATGACAAGAGTGACATTTCAAGGAATCTGTTCTCTCTACAATACTTCTTTTTTGTCAATAGGCACAACTATAATGCATAAAACGAACGTATTTGAAGTATGTTTAAACACTTTGTTTTAGCATTATCATATTACATATATACAGATGAGTACCTGATTATAACTTTTATAACATAAAATTGTAAGTGTATGATTACTTACATCGGTCCAGCATGGTAAAATTGATTTAGAAAATTATCATTTATCTCTTATAATTGTGGTTAGATTCTATTCAACATTTATGTAATATAGTTACATTTTCACTTTTAGTCATTGTTATGTAAACATTTACAAGAAGGAGTAGCATTCATTGGACTTTGCCTCTATCTTTAGGCAAAAAGGTGAAATCATGAAAAGAAAAAGAAAACATTCAGTTGATATATATAAGCTGTTCCGTGAATTTCTTTTGCACTACCTATATAGACACTTCAGTTTCGCATACTTCATTGAATTTGTTATATTTAGAAAAAAAACAATCACTATAAATCTAAAATGTGTATTCAGGCATGAACGCATATCAGTTTCATCTAAATTTACCATGAAGCTCGCTGCAATATAGATTGCATCAACTTGAGTTAATACCTGCATAAATGGTCTCATTATAGTACGTTATATCCCTACATCACATTTCCCCTGCAAGTGTATCGGTAAAGTATACCGTTCACCACATTTCATAAGTAAACTTTTTTTGTTTAATGGTAAAATTAAAATCATATTTAGTCTGTGTAAATAAATCAGGGAGTTTTAAACGCCATTATTAGCCATTTAGGAGAACATTCCTTGATGTTATTGATATTTTCATTAAGCGGACCATCGCCACGTCTTTACCCGCGTTTTTCAAAACAACTATTACATGCACACGTTTGCAATATGAAAATGCATTAAGCTGAATATTCCATGACTGTGCATGAACAACATTTATATCTCATTTTGAGTAAATAATTCCAAGTATGAACCAAGTAGGATATCTAACTGGCATTATCATGATTATCCTGATGGATTGCACTGGTAATGTTGCACATACGATGACAATTAAAACCGTAGAGTTTTCGTTGATAACAATTTATTGTTATGTATTATAAAAAAGCTATTTCGGTTTTACCATATACCGTAGTTTTCCTTTATACCTTTTTTTTCATTCCAGAACACATAATATTGTTTCCAATAAAATATTGTATTTTTGTACCTTTGTTACGATAAGTACCATTTCATACGACATGTTGCTTGTATATAGCAAACAGATTTATTCGACTGTTAAATGTGTTTGCACCACGTGATCCATGACTTTGTGATATATATGACACTTGTATAATAATGTAATTTGCAGGAATCGTTAGTGCTGAGATAATATAAGTTGTGTTTGAAAAAGTACTTTGTTATCCATTACATGAGTATCAACATGTGATCTTTGAGAAATGTTTTGAACTACTTGAGTACTTTTTTCGATGTTGGTCTTCAAAAAATGATACAGAATCAAGCTACGACCCATTTAGTTATTTACAAGTTGGAGTTAAAATTAGTAACTTTTTTTTCAATCTTATCATGTTTTTAATAACTACTTGTACTGTATGATCAACTTAATCCGGACTCAAACGTCCGGGTAATCCCTTTCCATACGTTAACATCCAAAGGAAGCTAAACCTATCTTATTAAAGTAAAGCACTATGTGTCGCGATTTAAATATTTTCGTGTTACAACGCAAGAAACATCGATTAAAAATTCAGATCGAAAAAGAATAACGATTGCTTCAACATTCGATTACAAATTGAAAAATAGAAATGGAAAGACAACAGTGTTCATGGATGAAGTAAACACAAATTATGAATTATTTCCAAGGCTAACGCTCCAAATTAAATGTTCAACTGTTATCCAAATACTCATGTATGTAAGTTTTATGTTTAATTTTGTAATATGTCTTTTTAGTGGATTTTACTTTTGAAAGCCAGTTAACATTACAAACATTTAGACCCATTGTGACGAAAAAGGATGTTCGAATAATGATGATACGAACCTTTTACATCTTCATAACAATATTTGTAGTGATTTAAAAAGGTTTTGATATTTATTCATTACAGTGATATCGACTGATGGTCGTTTTGAAGTTGATAGCACAGTGAAAATAGATGATAGATTGTTTTCGAGGCGTATATTTGATATCACAAACGGTTTTATCAAGTTTATATTGTGTGTGTTTGTGCATCATGTATGTATTATCTTGTTCTGTTCGCCGGTAGTAATCTTGGTTAACAATGGTAGATATATTTCTTTGAAAATTGCATATGGTTTTCTAAGAACTGTATTTGGTTGAAAGTACACTATAGACAAACGAATAAATACCAAACGTAAAGAAAAACTGCAACTCTTAATTGATATGAAAAGAGAACAAACAAAATGAACTCATTTATCTCACCTAAAAATTGGATGTGAAAATCATTGTTCGGGAAGATAAGTGTGTTTGGGTATACGTCATCAGGTACATTTTGTACTTCCAAGTACGGTTAGTACACAATCAGCTGTGGAAATTATTAAAGTCACGCTTACCAAGCAATGAGGTAACACTGATTTATCTGCATGCGTAGAGTACACTTACCATAACCTTACCCATCAACGATGTTAGACGAAAACATATATACCTAGTGCTTACATTAAAAGACAAAAGAAAGTTGATACCGAAAATTGAATACTAGCATTTTTTTTTTGCGGAATTCAATGCTCGCCATTGCAAAAAATAAGATATATAGATCACATACTTTTCACTAGTTAATGTTTGACGACGTAACAATTTGTTCATAACTCGTTATGCAAATGAATACAGTTATAGCACACAATATGGCAATGTCTCAGTGTAAATTCCAGATTTATTTTCCAGCGAAAGTGCATACACTATCTAATTACTGTAATACCTCGCATTGATCTAACAAACTGTGCAAACAGGTCTAGCAGGATCTCCCTGCATTATGAATTTGCATTAAAACGACGGATTGAAATGGAAACGAAATATTTATTTATTGATTTGTATTACAAATATCAGAAAGAAAAAAAAATGGTGAAAATGTTTGAAGTGAGACGTCATTAAAATGGCGCTTACAATAATGGTACTAAATCCCACACTCAGATGCTGCAGTTATACTTCCCCAAAATATATTCGTTGTTGCACTAAAACAGATGATCAGTAGAAATAATTAGATTTTTTTCGCGATGAATACTTCATTGTTTTCGAACATAGCAGTAATTATAATTTTTAATGGTGCGAAATCAGAGAGAAAATATTACGACATAGTAGTCATAAAAGCGAACTTTATTTGGAATTCATCAGGAAACTTCAAGATTGCTGTATATATTATTGTCACCACCGACTGTTTTTAGCTAAAAAGAAAATTATTCACATAAAGCAATATTTCAGACGTAGTAACATGTGTCAGAGTCATTCCAATACTGATCATTTATATGGCTCCTAACTCTGCATTTCCAGAGATTCTATACAATTACAAAAATAATAGCATTAAATTGCCCATCTTTTGTATAATTTCAAACACAGGCTGACTCTTTGTTTTCCTTTAACTGAAACCCTAATGTCAGCAAATATTATCACTAAAGTGTTTATGGAAGGATGTCTTAACGGAAGCATTGCCTTTCATTCTAAGGTAGAAAATAGCAATGCGTATTTCTAACATATTCATCATAAAATGCAAGGTATATATAATATTGAACTGTGATACTGATCGTGCACATATTTTTAGTGGTTTCCAGTATATTTGGGTAATACAGATATTTCAACAATTTTTGTTATCAAATCGTATTTTTAACCAATATTTTAATATAAGAAAATGTTTT